GGCTGTACACTGCAAAGAATTGGAATATCTCAATTAAAACCTCCCTGGGTTAACCTCATTCACAAGTGACTTCAAAGGTAGAAGATTTACTGTTGCGACTCGGGTACCTCGTATTCAGTATAGTATCGCCCGATGAAAACTTTTTGCCGATCGCCTAATATCTTGTCGTAACGAGAAACGCCTTGGTTACAATGATTCGGTAGCACCATTCTACGTAGAAGTAAAAAACTGGAACCTTTCCATTTTGCATCGTATAATAGCGTTCGTATCGATGCTCGATATGTCTTAAATTTGCTCAAGTGCCGCCTTCCACCAAGAAAAATTGCACTTAATAATATTTCATATAGCCAACCTTCAGTACGCAGCACATCAGGTGCTTGTTGAAATGTCACTCGTTTTGATAAAGATGATGTGATTTTATGTTTATTAAAATCTGCGACATGCTCTCTCGATGGTAAAGTGATAGGATTACCGATACGTTCAGGATGGGGAGACCAAACATTGCTCTCATTCTTTCGACGCTTGTTCTCAGCCTCGCCAGCCCCAACGGAGTGTTGTGAATCTTCATTTTTGCTCTTCTCTTTGTTCCACCAGCTTTTATACCTTACCTGAGAATCTTCTGTTGTGCTTTGGAAACATATGTTGGGTTGGATCTCAGTGCACTGCGCTTTTTTCTCGGATTTGTGAACCCGCCGAAAAACTCAGCGGTAGCAAAAGGAACAAGTGTGACGGTTGAGTTGAGAGCAGTCCGATGCGCTGTATGCAGCTCTCCTCGTTACGCTCTGGAATCTGAGGTGGAAGTTCGGCACTATTTACCCTTTACTGCCCCACTCATCCGAAATCAGGCCAGTTCCTGACCGACTTTTTTCTCCGTGGGCAGAATTTGCTGAAAACTTGGCTCCAGGGGTAGTTTGACTCGCTGAACACGAATATCGCAACCCGAAACCTCCTGGCGCCCGCGCCACGGGCGCCGGCGCCAAAATACTCGAAATCACCAAATTCGCTGAAAACTTGCTCCCAGGGGTAGACCTTCTGAACACGAATCTCACATCCGCTCAGCCCGAAACTTCTTGGCGCCTGCGCTACAGGCGCTGGCGCCAAAATACCCTAAATCACCGGCGCCTGTGGCGCAGGCGCCAGGAAGTTTCGGGCCGAGCGGATGTGATATTCGTATTCAGGGGTCAAACTACCCCAGGAGACAACATTTGAGCCAAATCTGTCCACGGAGAAAAAAGTCGGTCAAAAACTGG